CTAACTTGGGTTTACACCTCAGAAGAGGATTCCTTGCAAGGCATGGCTGAAAATAACAGTATAAGGAAATCTGGGAGAAGTCTTTACTCCTACCTCTGCCACTCCTACCTCTGGAAACTAGGAGCTGAACATTTTTACTACTTGTTTTTCCATGAAGCACCAAGCAGCTTTATGAATTAAGTGACATTTTGTGATATCCTAGAGTTTTGGGGCAGAATATATGTTAACGTTAATAGGTGTGCTAATTTACCAAAGCTTTCCTTATCCTAGGACTCCTGTGCTACATTATGAGATATTATTTATTAAGAATGATTTCTACATTTTCTGTTATTTGCAGTTCTTTTAATTGCTAGTTCTAAATGTTTAGATTTTTACTTATTTCTCAAGAAAATGTAACAGAATTTAATTTTGGCTGAGGAGCGAGAACACTATTTGCCCACTGTGTTTGGGTACTCTTTTCTGCATATAGAGTAAGAAATTATTTGCTCACTTCATTTGGGTGGATGGATAGGAGATGTACACTTATTAGTGTTACAGTAGACCATTTTGAAATAAAATTCACTCCAATATGCATTTAGGTAAAGAAACGTGTCTAGGAAAGGGTAGGCCAGATCATATCTGATAGCATAGTTCTTTTTCTCTTAATGAGTCCTGGCAATCCTCCCTTGCAGTGAGGGGATTTGTTCCCCTTGAATGGTCCAAACCTCTGGGAAGGAAGTAATGTTAGATAAACTTAATCTGCTATTCTAAGGCTCTGTGTGTGAGTGTGTGCTCATACACATGTGGATGTTTGGGGATTATGCTCCCTGCAGGGGCTAGAGAGTCAAACTGAAGTTTGGCTCCATGATAAAATATCTGATCTGATATGATCTCTGGAGATTATTTTCTTAGCTTTGAGCAGTTGTGGATACTATATGATGCATTATCAGAGAAAATAATCCAAAGTAATGGATTTGTCTGATGTACAACACAGAAAAAACTCAGTATCTGGTACAGAGAAAGAAAGGTTTTATTGGCCACTGAAGAAGTGCATCAGCGTTCTTTTGGGTTTGGATTTGATTTAAAACTAAACCTTGGTATCAAAATATACTATAACTCACTAGCAAAACAACTTGTACTAACTACTTTCCGAAGACTGACTGTGCCAAAAATGTTTTACTGAATAGTACTAATTTTCCTGCTTCATAGGAGCACCTCTCCTATGAAGACAGGATGAGAGAGTTGGGGCTGTTAAGCCTGGAGAAGAGAAGGCTCCAGGGAGACTTTAGAGCAGCCTTCCAGTACCTAAAGAGGGCCTACAGGAGAGCGGGAGAGGGACTTTTTACAAGTGTATGTAGTGACAGGACAAGAGGGAATGGGTGTAAGATGAAAGAGGGTAGGTTTTGATTAGATATTAGGAAGAAATTTTTCACTGTGAGTGTGGTGAGGCATTGAAACAGGTTGCCCAGAGAAGTTGTGGATGCTCCATCCCTGGAAGTGTTTAAGGTCAGGTTGGATGGAGCTCTGAGTAACCTGGTCTAGTGAAACCGGTCCCTGCCCATGGCAGGGGCGTTGGAACTAGATGATCTTTAAAGTCCCTTCCAATGCAAACCATTCTGTGATTTTATGACTCATAGGTAACTACTTGTTGCAAACTTTTATCTGTAAGTAGTCTGGAAAAGATGTAGTTTTTGATTGATATTCCACTTATTTTTATATGTGTACCAAATGTATTATAGATGTTATCAAAATTAATCCGAGGATCACATTTCGAAATGTGTTAACTCTGTTTCTAATGCAGAGTGATCTACAAGGTTCTAAAGAAACCATTTAAGTCATAGAGGGTTTATCTTCTTGCTCATGGTACAAAACACTGAGTCACACCTTTCTGTATTTTACATGACAGATATCCCTACACTCTTTTGCTTTTTTCAGGAGTTGTTGATGTTGGCTTTCTCTGTCTGATGATAATTTATTTTTTCTTTAAATCGGGAGTTTTCTCTGCATAAAAGAAGAAGTATTCTGTGAGTAATGTTGCTTATATTTACCTGTGATATGCTGAACAGCATATTTCCTTTTGTAGTGTTAGGCAGCTATCCCGAGAGGTTGAAACATGCGTTTAGAAGAACAGGGACTTAATAAACAGGGAGAGAAGATATAGCAGGGTCCTTTAGTGGACAAATATTTGATAGTTTGTCATGCTTAATTGCCTGCTAGTTTTGTGTTGTGTGACGGAATAACAACCATGTGGACTATGTACAAGAACAACTATTGTCTGAGATGCTGAAAATAGACCAGTTGATCAGTTTACCACTTGTAAGTCTAGCATTATGGTAGGTATTTTCAGTGACCTGCTTTATAGTGGCCTATCTCTGTTCTAAAGTTTTGTACTATTACTATGAGATAAAAGGTAGATGTGAAAAAATAAAACGCAGAATAGAAAGGTCTGTGTCCAAAAAACCACTTGAAAAACTGAAAAAACTTTTTATTTCCTGATTTCTATTCTGGTCAGGATTTCATGGGCCTGGCATCATTGCTTCTGTCAGTTACTTATTACTGTGGGATGTAGTAATTTTCCCTGAGTGTATGCAGAGTATGTGTCTGCTTAGTTTTCTGTGTTGGAAATATGTATTTCTGATTCTGTATTGTGTTTGATGGCTGTGTTGGAAGGGTACAAAATAGAATAACTTCCTGACATGATCTTTCAAGATCCAAATATTCTATGCTGGCCTGTCTGCAAGAATTTCCTTTTCACTGAAGTATTTCCCTATCCATCTGTCTCCACGTCTTCCCCGAGAAGAAAAAGAGTGTTAGTAAATAGAAGGAAGACCTTTTCTCTTTGCTTATTATTCCCAGGGCATATCTCCTTGATGCATCTTGAGCTTAGTGGTTAACACTGTCTGTGCTTTAAGTTTTCTTTTCTCGCACCTTGAACAGTGAAGGTCTGTATTACACTCAGGAGCTCAAAGTGCTTTGAATTCTGATTTTCAGGAATAATAAAATAATTCAGAAGTTGGTCCATTGCTGCCATGCTTCAAAACCTCACCCAGAAGAATGAAAACTGACTCTCCATAATGGGCTGGTAGATATGCTGCATACCTTGGTATGCAGACAAGACGACAGACCTGAAGTCTCTCAGTTACAGCAGGCTCCTTATTGCAGGTGCAGTGAACTCCTGGTGTCTGCAGTGCCATGGCCATTAGCATAAGTCACTCAGGTGCAGAAAGGGCAGTGAAATATGTGACATTAGCACACTGAGAGATGTTCTCTGCTCTGCCATTTAACAGCATGATGTCTGCAGGGCAGGAAATCAGAGAGTCTGTGTTGGAGAGGGATTTCGGTTGCGTGCAGTATTTACAGCTGTGAATTAACAGAGATTTTTGCACTGGCAATTGATTACAATTGATTTTGTGGAAAAGTTTTCCGGTGAAAAAGCGAATACATTCCTGCCTGTTGTGCTAGAACAACATTGACCTGATATCCTGATGCAGGCCACAAACTTTCCATGCTCAGACTATAGCACACGCTATTGTCAATGCTGCATCTTATGCCCAGAAACAAGAGGTAGTGCTGAGTCTACATGTGAAAATTAGATTTGAGGTTGATGAGAATATATGAGATTTCTAACACCTGGAGTTGCCAGTTAGACTCAAGTACTAGTTATTCGAGACCATCGTATTTTGTCGTATGAATTAGGAGTACCTTTCTTTTTTTTTTTTTTTAGAATTGACCTAACAAGCTCAGGATTTTTTCATACCACTTTTTCTCTCACTCACACCTTCAAGACATTCTGAATGTTATGAGTGGTCCAGAGTCAACTGAGTGCTAATTTCTCAGCTTAAATAGACTGCCTTGTTCAGGTGCCTTTGCTAGGTAAACCACGGATCTACATCATCTGTTCTGTCAGCCTGAGAGTGCCCACCAACACCTAGCCCATGAACTTCAGGAGAAGCTGAATACTGGGGCTAATAACCCTATTATTTAATACCTGCAAGCTGTTCTGTTTGATTACCGAGAGTCAAACATGCGCTTATCCTTGTCTTGTCAAATGGAGCATGATTTAACCAATAAACTAATTATATTGTTCCAACAAAATACTCTTATTTGTAGCTGCCTGAAGATGTAAGGATAAATGAATATAGCAAATACTATTTAATAACTGCTAGAGTATGGGAATAGATTAGATGCTACAAAATTCCTGTCTGATATTTACTTCTAGTTCAATGCAAAATGAAGCCCAGCAAGCCCTAAAATGAGCATAAAACTTTTGAGGTACATTTTGAATTGTGCAAGATCAAAATTCCAAAATTACAGTTAAATTTTTCAAGGTAAAACGTAAAACTAGTAAAACCATAAGAAGAATGGTTGCTTTGTTTAATTTTGGAAGTTGTTTTCGTCTGTTTAAATTTTTTCTATTTTGCAGTGTATTCAAACAGATTACTATAATTTCAGTTTTTGGCAGTAGATTGGTTTTTATTAAACAAAGGCATTTAATGTTTTTTTGCCAGGAAAATAGTTAAAACTTACTTTTGTGCATTCTAATAGAAGGAAATCAAAGATATGACAAGGTTACATTTTAACTTTTAGAAGTTATTAGTTTTTCATTTTGAGAAATGAAAATATTAAATTTTTATTTCAGCCAAACTACAGTAAAGCCAGTGATATATTTTTCTTGAGATATAATTGATTTAGAACTGCAGGACATGAGTGTTTGGAAGGAAAAATAAGAAAGTGTTGCTATTTCTCTAGTTAGAACGAGGAAAGAAAGACCATTTTGTATGAAAGTCTCAGAGGGAAGTCCAAAGCTAATGAAAATTTCTCAGGTTACAATATCTTTTTTTTTTCTTTCTTCCTTATTTTTTTTTAGACTGCAAACATCTCAAACCATTTACAAGAGATGTGGCAGACAGGAATTGTTCAGCTTATAAGCACCCTTCAAAAGAGTGAAAACAAAAAAAACCCACTCCTAGGCTAGCTTAGAAAAGTTGAACTAAAATTCTTTCTATTCCACTTATACCTAGGCAGTTCGGGAGAAGAATGTTAACCACCGGTCCCTAGCAGCGTATCCTGACTTCTGATCTCTTATATTAAAGAAAAATACCCATTTCAGAGAGAGTGCAAGACTGTGTGAAAGTAGAGAATACCACACTCCAGCTTAAAAAAAGGTAAGGAGAGGTTTTTCTGCTAATCCTTTAACACCATAAGTGTTATCTTCATTTAACAATTCATTAAGTTGAAGGCAGAAGTGAATATTTAGATAATAATTGAACACTGAAGTATTTATTTACCCTGCATGTTCTAACTTAGAAAAAAAGATGCTTTTTTATTGAAGAAAGAATGCAATTCTTGTGTTTCTGAGCTTAAAACTATTTGCTTTGTAGCTTTTGTGTGTCTTTTGGAAAAAAAAAAAAGAAAACAAATGCTATGCAAAACAGCAAACATTATCTTTCATTTCAAGCACTGAAGTTATTTTTAGCCATGCAAAGATTTATGTAGTCTCTGGTATACCACACAACTCTCATTTTGCCAAGATATATACACAGCATGTTTGTAGAATGTTGCCTCTGGGAGTTGATGCTAAGTAGTAGTCTACCATTTGTGCTTTTATCAGAACAGATCTGCACTATTTTCCTTTCTGCCAGGTTTTGGATTGACTGGTTATTTGTAAAATATTTACAACTCTGCTTCCTTTGGCATTTCAGTTCTAAAAGGTATTGGAAGAAGCTGAAAACAGTTATAACATACTTTACTGTGCATTGTCAAAGTGGAATAACAGCAGCAGAGGTTTTTTCCTATTCAGGTTCTTTTTTGCTCCCCCCCCTTTTTCTTTTCTTGTTCTGGGAAGAGCGTTGGAATTCCAAACAATAGGTAATAACTTCTTTCTGTAGCAGCCATTCTGCAATGTGGTTCTAGGGCAAATGAGTTCATCAATGATGTCATTTGCAAACACTCTACACCACATTTCTGTAAATCTGGGTTTGGTGTCTATCTAATGTAGAAACATTGTCTTTGCTTTTGCACAAAACAATATGATTCTGTTATTTGAAGTTATTTTTGTGGTTTTAGAGAATCTGTCCTGTCTAACCCATAACACCCTGTAAATTCACAAAGACTATTGGTTACCTAAAAGTCCTGCCTTACTCGTGACTGTCTTGCCAAAATATACATTTGGCTGATGTGTTATGTGGCAAGAGAATAAATGACCAGCAGATATCATTAAAAACTCTTCTGAAATGATCAGCTGAAATATATTGGCTTACTTATAAGAAACAAAGGTTCTGTTTTCTTGAGATGGTCATAGTAATTTTGACATTTTTCTGCCATAAAAACCTACTACTCCTCAGCTGAAGGTACACAGGTGTTTGTGAAATACCTCTTTGTGAGATGGTGTCTGTTAATGTATTACAGGTGGGATATGTTCGTATTTCTTCAAAGCAGGAAAATAAGAAATGTGCCACCACCAATGGAAAATGCTCTGTGAATGCAGGATGCTTCCTACCTGCTCTCTAACCTCATATTTCCATGCCATTTGTGTGTGAGGATTACAGATTCTGAACTATCTTCTGTTTCCTTTGAACAGACTTAGTTTGAGCAAGCAATACGGCACTTTTCAAACAGAACATTTTATACTTTGCCACGTAAAATGAAATACCCATTGGCTTAAAATACAAATATTCAAAGAGCACTCTAGGACAGTGGTCAGGTGTGATCATCTCCAGACTGACTAATACAAATTTCATAAGTAAAATATGCAAGATATACGTCTGTATATCTAGAATTTGCATATAATGTTTCTTCCCAGAGAATTAAAGCTAGGTTGCTTTTCTGACAGTGTACCCAGTGTTCTTTCATAACCCACCCACATATCCTGTTGTTAGAATATTCTGCTTTTTACTGCAGAAATGAGTCCAAAACTTTTTTAGAAAAGAATTTGCACTATGAGTAGATATTTTACTTAATCCATAAGATTCTTTTTGTTGTAAATCATTTGTAAGTGTAGCGTTAGTCTATTTTTTAACAAGGTTATTGAAGTCTAATATTTTGGGGTTTTTTCTAATACATACAAGATTTTTTTATAGTTGATTCCACCATTTCACATTTTCTAGGTTAAAATGCTTGTGGCTTCAGGATCATATTTATTGGTGACCCTACCCTGCTTCCCCCAAGACTTCAGTTTTCCTTTAAAGAACACTTTTTGTTTTCATTCTTAAAAAAAGTGGAAGAAGAGGAAACCCTTTTTTATCTTATATGCTATTAAAGTTTTCTTTTTATTTCATTTGTGTCATCCAAATCTGGTTTCCCCCCTTTATTCTGTAATTTCTTGTTCTCTTGATTTTGCTCCTCCTGTTCTTTATGCTTATCCAATTCAGATTTCTTTCTTACAATAACTGATGACTATGGATACATTTGATTGTGTTCTTTCAAGTCACCACAGAGGAATTACGAACAGCAAGGATTTTCTGAAATAAGTCACTGTTCAGTAACTAGCAATGAAAATAATCTATTTCCTGTTTTAATGAAGAAGATGGACAGAGACCTTGGTTTAGTCAACATTATATTGTAGCATTTGTTCATGATTAATTTTCTAGATTTTTAGATTACTCTTGCAACGAATTTTAGTGACAATTAGAAAAACTGGCAATGTGAAAAAGCCCTCGATTTTTTAACCCTCTACATAGTAATGTGGGTGAATTGGAAGTCTTCTCAAATTTAATATCACAAAAACAGCCAGGAAGTCTTTCACTGTAAACGGGCTCTGATTTCATGCTCTTAGGCAACTCAGCCTTATCTTGCTTTTGTGCAGAACGATGTCGTGTCCTCATTCTAGTCCAGTGAGGGAGCGACCCCACACACCAGAGAAAACTGCTTATTCCGTCTGTGGTGTGTTCACTTGGTGCCTCTGGCTATGCTGGGCTAGGACCTGGGGTCGGTAGTAGAGCTCAGCTGCATAGCTCCATCCTTGCATGATGTGGAAAACTCTACTAAAAAACTCATCTATCCTTACCACAGCTATGTCTGTCCACTGTGTGGCCCTCCCCACTGTCGTACTTAGAAAGAACCAACGTCTTTGTCTCCTCCAGGATTGAAGTAGAAAAAACAAAAAGATGACCTGAGAGTCACAGCAGTCTGAAATCATGTTTTCAGTGCAATGAATGGAAAGTATTTTCTGATATGCAATTAATGAATTAGTTCAGAATATCACACTGTCTGCAGAACGTTGCAGCAGGAGTTGAAAACTGGGGTGGTTACATCCATCTGCTGATTGTCATGGGGCAATAATTACTGTAAAAATGCTAAAGATTTTGATGATCTGAAAACTAAACTGTAAATACCAAACACTTGTTTTATATATCATTTGGGGAATCTCCTGGTTGTGTGTATTTCTCTGTGTGGCCATCATGTAGGGAATTGGAGGTTACCAGCTTAGAGTCTAGGCACTTAGTCCTTCTCTTACTAAGAGTTGTGAGATCCGTGCCTAAGATTTACCAGGTTGGCAACCTGTAAGCTTTTGGAAGTTGAGAGGTTTGGCTTTTTTTAGCTATTATTGACAGGGAAGTGGGAGGGCAGTAGATAGATCTCTTATAATGTGGAAGCTATACCTGACAATTTTGGGATCTTTCAGAGAGCCTGGAAAGAGTGAAGCAAAAGGTACAAGCTCCTTCTACAGAAATTTCCTTTGAAAGGTAATACTGGCATGCTGAAGAACAGGATTATAGGTGATCATCTCTCTTTGAAATAATGGCATGACAACTATAAATAAAACAACAACAGAACAAAACAAGTTGTCATGTCACAGTTTTCATGTTCCTTAAGTCTCCCAATATATAACAGAACTAGTTACCTTTTGTATCTGCTCTGTTTCCCCAGGAAGCTGCCCAGTATGGAAAAACATGTCTTGATAATTTTGCAAGAAAGTTTTTTGGGGCTGCTTATGTCTCAAAACGGGGTCCAAACCATGAAAATTGACTGGTTCTTGAATTTTTTTCAACGTGTTCAGAATTTCCTGTGTCAAGTCAATATTTTCACAAGGCTAGGAGCCATGTTTACAAAATTTAGATTAGTTTCTGTTTTGATTTTTATTTTTGTGGTCCTACTGATGACAAGAGTTTATACAATTGATCCAGATTTAGTAATTCCATAGGCTACATTCTTTTTATTTCTTCCATGATGAATTCCGTGAAAATATCAATGAAGTGTGCTGTAGGCAAAATTATCTGAGGGCAGAAGGTGACTTATGCTTCTTCTAGTACTTTCAGAACTGGGCGAATTAAAGTATTTCTTATGGTTATTTTTTTTTATGGCTGCTCCTACATTACAGTTTTGAAGTTCAAATTTGAATCTTAAGAGTATTTAGGAATTCAGGTTTGTAGGATTGGAACAGGAAAAATTGGCACAAATCTTGATTTGACTTTGCTAAAGCAATATTTTTGTTTGTAATGTCCTGCCTTAGACATCCAGCTGTGGCTAAATAACCTTAGAAGCCCTATTTCAGGAAAAGACAATCAAATGTTTAATTTTAATATGATTTAGTGCTTCCTTGAGCTGAAAGCTCACTATAACCCTGGGCTTCAGTGACTAACTAGGATGGAGAGAAGTAAAGCTCTTCAGGAAATTCTAAAAAGAAAAGACATCCAAATAGATATCAGAGCTAATTATGATATGAAATGGCATATTAAATTCAGTTATGCCAATGGACTGACTAGCTGGTGTGTATTCAAAGACGGTGACCTTCCTCCACTCCACCTGAATGAGTCTCAACTGAAATGCAGCTCAGAAACTTAAGCAGCTTTTAAAATGCTTCTTGGAGATCTGTAATGTCATGAACTGGCAGTAGGCAGAGGTGTCTTCAAGATGAGGTCCTTCTTCAGCTCCATCATTTTTATCAGTAAGTAAAAAGGGGAGCTGAACTCTCCTGCCGATGTTGGATAACATTTCCCACCACAGGATCCTACTGAGGTGACTAAATTTTGTTGATAAAACTCAGGATAAAACAATGTCATATAGTGCTGGTTTGTGTTTCACTTTGGTTTCATATTACATGTGTATTCTCTAAAAGTGAGACTTCTTCCCAAAAATAAAGAATGGTTCTGGAGATGAAGGAAGAGTATGAAAAATATATGACCCATAGGCAAATTGTCTAGAAAATCCCTTTAAGGACTTTTAA